GAGAATACAAACTTATTTTGTGGATTCACAGTCTGGCAGAAAAGATCAAAAGAAGTAGGTGACTTACAAAGGTGCAGACAGAACCCCTGCTGTGATTCTAGGCAGAGTTTGGAGTTTTAACATATTGCTTAAAGGGCTAGTTTTAGTTTCCTGCCTGTGCCTTCATATTCTAACAACATCCTCCAACAAACAGATCTCACAGGATCTTGCATATTCTTTGTCCCAGGCCTGATTACCCCGGGGGTCCGCCGTTTCTGGTCTGGGCTACACCGCCCCTGCTATTTCCACAGGCCTGAGTCAACAGAGGAGACAGAGGCAGCCAGGAGACTTGGATTTCTCACATCTAAGAACAAGGACTCAGGCTTTGACAAAGCCGAGGGGGCAGGGGTTGATACCATCACCCCTTCATTTCCACAGCCCTGAGTCTCTACCCAGAAGCCTCCACGTGATCATGCCTGTCTAAGATGATTCCCTCTGTGGGAAATCTTACCCGTCATTGGCTAACTGATCAAGCTTAGGAGGTCAGGCACAGAACAGGCAGCGTTCATGCCAGGGAAATAAGTTTTTTTGTCTCCTTAGTGGCTCCTGGTCCGAAGGTCTCTCACTCAGCCTAGGTCACAGGGGGTTACAGCTTCCTGAGACCAGGCGGGGCAGTCCCCAACAGTTCTGAGTTTCAATTTTTTTCAACAATCCTTTGGGTTCATTTCCATGGGAATTGCCAATGTCTAACAAACTTTTGACAATCTAAATGATACAGAGAAACCCATTTATAAAGTAAATAAAAGCACAAGTCTGCTTGAAGTGTTGAAGGGAATGAAAAGGCTCAGATGAATCATCCTTCCTGCCTAGGATTCTGAGGAGGATAGTTTAAAAAGCACCACTGCATGATAAAGTTTGATAGAGCAAAAAGTGTCAGAATGATCTAAAGTAATACACATTTTAGCAGGGTTTTCTAAGAGTGTCAAATACCCAGTGGCTTTTTAAATATTTGTATCCCCGAAAAACAATTTATGTGGAACTTCCACGTGTAAAACAGATAAAGAGGTAGTCCATTTATTTAAGCTCTTTTAAAGTTTAGTCATACATTACTTATAAACACAATAAATGAGGCTCTGACTGGTGTGGCTCAGTTGGTTGAGCATTGTCTCCCAAAGCAAAGGGTCACCAGTTCAATTCCCAGTCAGGGCACATGCCTGGGCTGCACGCCAGGTTCCAGGTTTGGGTACATGGGAGACACAACTGATTGATGTTCCTCTCCCATACCAATGTTTCTCTCCCTGTCTTTTTCCCTCCCTTCCCCTCTCTCTAAAAGTAAAATGCATAAAATTTTAAAAAGACAATAAGATAATCAGTACTTCTCTCGCTCCTCCTTTTTTTCTTCTTTCTTTCTCTATGCTTCTCACACACAAGTTCTCTTTCTCTGCGCCCCCATATATATTTTATGTGTGTGTGATTGACATATAATAAACCACAAACATCTAAAGTATATAATTCGGTAAGAGTTGACATATGTATATACCTGTGAAACTATTGTTACAATCAAGATAACACACATGTCCACCACCCACAAAATTTTTCTTGTATATCCTTGTAATCTCACTTGTCCCTTTCCACATTTCTCCATGTCCCCATTGATCTGTTTTCTGTCACTTCTAGATTAAATTTTATTTTCATCGTAATTAATTCTTTTTTATTGCTGAATAGTATTTATTGTATGGATACATCATACTTGTAATTCATTAAATTTTTATAGACTCTTGTTTTTTTTCTGGCTTTTGACTATTACAACTAAAGCTCGTACAAACATTAACATATAGGTATTTGTGTGGACATATGTTTTCATTTCTCTTGGGTGAGTAGCTAGGAGTGGAATAACTGGGTAAAATGGTAGGTGTATGTTTAACTTTAAAAAATATGTCAAACTTTTTCCCAAAGTTGTTTCATTACTTTATATCCCCACCTGAAGTATATAAGAATTCCAACTTTTGCATATTTGTCACCAATATTTTGTATGGTCTATATTTTTAATTTTAGCCATTCTAATAGATTCATAATAGTATCTCATTGTGATTTCAGTTTGCATTTCTTTATGACTGATGACATTTAGAACCTTTTTATGTGCTTATTTGCCATCTATTATACTTACTTTTTACATCAATACATCAGTGCCTTGTAGTATATTTAAGGATGCTACTTTGTTCTTTGTCTCTCATATGGGGTAACCAGTGAAGTGTTTTGATCAAAAGGATGACTTGTATACCAACAGAATTAGTCTGGGTGTGTGTCTGAGGATAGAATGTAGGGAGGTATGGCCTAAAACAGCAGATCAGTGGAGCATCCGTGTTAGTGATATTGCTAAGAAGTATGGGGTTTCATACCAGGCCAGTAACTGTGGAGTGGGTGAGAGGTGGGCAGATTCTAATATATTTTGAAGGTATAATTTATAAGATTTTATTTGGGATGAACATGATGTTTGAAGAAAGAGAGTATTTGAAGATGATTTCATGATTTTTGGCATGAGTATGTGGTTATATGAAAGGAACTGATTTGGATAGGAGATTTAGAATCTTAGTCTTGGAGTATTAAGATTGGAATAACTATAATAACCTAAGAGGAATTTCAAGTCGGCAGGTGAGTATATGAGTCTGGGATTCAAAAAAGAGAAGTCTAGGATGGAGTTATAAATTTCAGAGTCACTAGCATATGGATTGTTTTTAAAGCCATGAGTTGGGATAAGATCATTAATGGAGTGAGTTAAGAGAGAAAAAAGTCTAAAGTCTAAACTCCGGGCACACTAACTAAGAGACTGGGGGGATGAGTAGGGAATAGCAAAAAAGATTACAAAGTAAAAAGAAAACCACCAGTAAAGTATGGAGTCTAGGAGCTAAAGGAAGAGAAGGTTTTGGTGGAGGAGAGAGTAACTCAATGTTTCAAATACAGGGGACAGATGATGAAAATGACAACTAGGAGTTACCCATTGAATTTTAGTAACCTGAAAGTCATTAGTGATCTTGCCAAATGTAGTTTTAGTGGAGTAGTGGAGGGAAAAAGTATTCAAGTGAGTTCAGGAGAAATGGGGAAAAGAACTGGAAGCAGCAGGCACAGCCAACAATTCTAACACTATTCCCACGTGCTGTAATGGATGCAAAGGAATGATATGGAGGCTGAAGAGAGAATTGAACCAAAGGGCATGCTTTTCTTTTAAATGAGAAAGACTGAAGCATGTATGTATCTTTGTGGGAATGATTCAGTAGAGAGGAGAAATGGGTGATACAGAAGAGAGAGAATTTCTGGATCAATGGCCTTGAGTAGAGATGAAGACATAGGGTCTGGTCCACAAATGAAGAGAGGAGAATTTGTAAGTCAAACCTGTTAAAGAGGGGAAGGCAGAACACATGGGCAGGTAAGTGTGAGTAAGTGGATCGTTGTGTGGAAATTCTCTTCTCAGGGATTGGGTAAGAGTAACTTCCAGAGCTCATGGAAGTCAGGAGAGAAAGGAGATGGTATGAAAAGCATCTGAGAGCCTGAGGGAAAGAATGGATCTGGGAACCTAGGGTGACTTCTGGACAGCACCTCGCAGTAAGAGGTGATGTATTTTAATGTGAAACCAGTCACCGTGGCAGTGTGATTCTCTTGAACCACATTCTGCCATACAGATGCAGGTGCAAGTAAGAGGAATTGGAGGTGTGTGACAGGAACTTTTTAAACATGATGATGACTGGGTCTTGCCCACTTTTAGATATTCTTGTTTGGTTTTTGGTTGCAAAAGGGCCTGGCCACTGGATTTTATTTAAAGCAACCAAGATGATCGACAGCAAAGTCAGAATCACATCACTGAAGTGTTTCACAGCTTTTGCTGGAGGCACTGGAGGTATGGAGTAGATGTCAATGTCTATAAAGCTAAAAAAATAAATTAAAACCAGTTGTGATTTATTTATCTTATTTAACTCATTTTTGGATAATTTCAGCCTACACTTTTTGGACTTGGGGAGGTTCTGAGGATGCTTAGAAAAGATGAGGATTAAAAAATGGCTGATGTTTGGTATTTCTACCCCTATCATGGAAAAAATATCAAGAAAATTGACATGTAACATTTTTCAGTACTTCATAGTTTTTTTAAAAAAATTACACTACCTTGAATAGAAACAAATCAATTTTTGGATTTTAATCAAATGTGTCATTCTTTAAAGCATAGAAGGTCGTTATGCTAAGTTTTAGCCTACAGTATCTTGTATATAAAATTTAAGTTCTAACGGAAATTAATGTGAAGGAGAATATGTTTCACTCTTTTAATATGAAATACACTTGAAGGTTTACTGACACTGTCTTCAGTCTGAGGATGGGTTACAGCAGCACAGGGGAAAGAAGTAAAGCAAAGGTACACATGACAGTTTCTCCTAGATATTTTGAAGCAAGATGCCAAATACCTTGTTTGAAACTAGGTCTTAAATAAAAAGGTTTCCCAGATATATTACCGCTGGAAGCATCAAAGACCATGGATGTATTTACTGTGCTTTTGGCAAACAACAATTTCTCAATTCTCAAAAACACAGCTAACATTTTCTGTCTCCAGGAAAGGAGACATCCATGTCACAGGTGTAGAAGTGTTTTGTTTTATCAGTTTGTGATGTTAAAAATTAGACACAGCAGGCACGCTCTGCAGATGTATTGGACCAATAAATGAGTACATAATATAATATGATAACCTCTCCCTTTTCTGTGAAAAGTTGTAAAACTTTGCTTTGAAAACCGACCCTATTACTTTCTTGTACTGAACAAGGGAGAATTCCCTGTGTCCAATTCAAACAAGTTTTATTTGAGCAAAGTTCAAGCAGGAATTAGGCAACCCCCTGTTGGCCTTGAAACTACAGAAGAGAAGCAAGAAACCAAATACTGAGGGATAGGTTGCACAAATGCGACTTCATCTAAACCCAAGCCAGATGTAAACCGTTCAAGACATAAATAATGGAACGGAGGACAGCAAACTTTCAAGGGATGCTGTGGATGTCTGTTCCCTCTTCTGTCATTTATGTTTCTGCAGTCAAGGTTCAGTTCAACCACAATTTAGACATCACCCTGGAAACAATCTTCACTGTTACTCTGTTCCAGGAGCAGAGGAATTCTTTTGATGAGCTCTAAGAGACTGGTAACAATACCTCCTGAAGGGCCAGGTTGCTAGGTTACACCTTGTTTCCTTGGTCACAGTGACTGCCTGGAAGACCCCCAAAAGAGACCGCAGATTCTTGGTGGACAGCTCTCATATGCCCTCCTGGGAACATGATGAAAAATGTCTTTAGAAAAATAGTTTTTTGAAGGCCAGAGGAACTTTGTACACCGGCAGGAAATGTCTGAAAGGTAAGAAAATGAAATTTTAAGAGCAAGCTAAGTCATTACTTGAGAGAAAACAAACCAACCAACAAAGATAGCATTACCAGCTTAAATTTCATTTAAAAATGTAAAGTCTTGCAGCCTGTGTTACTGATGATGGTTGCTTTGAGAGAGAAGCAAATATTTCTGCCACTCTCTCCCCAATGCCATGTGACTGGCTACAAGTGCAGTACAATTTCTGTGATCATCGTTGTGAGAGGGAGATGGACTTACTGTTCCAGTAATGGTGTGTCTGTAGACACACAGGGCCCTTGTGTGGATTTTAGCAGACAAACAAACAAAGACAGCCAAAAGGATATATATTGATTCATTAATATCTCTTCTTTTTTAGTTAATATTAGTTAATACCTATTATTTAAGTTTGAAGGAAATTACTACCACAAAAACAACTTGTACTAGCTCATTAAAGCTGCAAATAAGACCAAAGAAGAAGCCAAAATCCAACCACTGTTTCCTCACTCCTAAATTTCATAGCTGTATCATAAATGTTTCTCAAAGCATGCCGAAAATTAGGCAGTAGACAATGAGGGGAGGTTGTATGTTTCTTGAATTTTTTGTCTTCGTATTGATGTATAACCTGGCTCTCAATTTCAGATTTGTACCTTTAGTTTTCAGGATTAAGTACATTTTGACTTCATATGAGTGTAGGAAACTTATAGCTTTCATTTACTACATACAGTCAAGAGAGGAATCACACATAGGCAGGGTTTGGAGGATGAAGCAGCTCTATTACAGAAGTTCTATTTTTTGTTAGCAAACTGTAGATCTCAAGCAATATCTAGATTTATGTTGATTTTAATGCTAAAATTATGTCTTAGTTTGGAGAAGTGGACATGTGAAATAATTGTTTCTAAATGAATAGAAGTTCTCTGAAGAATTATGAACTTTATTTTTCCCTACTTGCTAACACCCTTTAATGTGGTATACCAAGAAGAGGTTTATTCATAGCTCTGTATAAAATGATCTTTATGATCACTATTACTTTTTTAAACTAGTAAAACTTTATAAAATTATTTTAGAGGTATACTAAAAAGTGATGCCCAGATCACAACTTAAACTTTATACTTCATCTTTGGAGAGGGAAGGAAGAAAGGGGGTAAGGGAAGAAGAAAGGGAAAAAAAGGAAATTTTCTTAGTGGCAGTATTTTTGTTCAATCACACTTCCAAACATCAAAAACCAAGAGTCTTATACACACCATCTTACTGACATACAGTCAATTTCATAGTTTTACTTTTGTTCACAAGCTCTACCTCAATCACATATTATCCGTTAGTGTTTATGTTCTTCTTCTCCCTTGTAGCGTTCTATGTGATTGAATTTTCAAAGTTACAACAATGTAAGGAGTAAAAAAACATTCCTCAAGTATTGAGAACCATCTAAGAAACACCTGTGTGTGTGGTTACCATACATTTCTACAAACTTCCAAACATAGTCTTGTAGAGGGAGCATAGCAGTGTCTCAGTCTCTCTGTCTTCATTGTTTTGGGTACTTGAATACATCTTTTGCATTATAAATATCAGCAAACCCACTAATAGTTACTGAAATTTATAAACTTTCCCTCAGAGAGTTTAACAGATGTTTTTTCTTTTACTTTTGCTGTACCTTTTACTTTTGCTGTACCTTTGCTGGATGCCTCTTTGTGTTTATAGGAACGTGCATGGGTCTGGTGCAACAGAGACAAGCAAAATTTACAAGAATACAATTGGGTCACATAAAATTAAAGTCTCATTAGAGATGGGTAGAAAAATAATTCTAGTATGTTTATCAAAATTACAATTTATTATTCTATGGGTTTGGAATCAGCAATCTAAATAATGTAAGACGTATCTGTTAAAATTCTGGGTTTTGAGGACAGATACTTTTGACGTATCTGTAAACCACAGTTTTTTAGAACAGCTTATTGCTATATTATTATTTACTGAGTTTATGCATTTAGTTTCAGGAACTCAGTTTAGAGCTATCAGAAATTTAAACATGATAATATTCAAATGTAAAAACCTGTTATACCTAATTTGCCAATTCAGAAACTATCAAATTATATCAAATTTCTTCCTGATTTTATAGGAACTGCTTTCAGAGCACTTCCTATTATCTCATTACCACCTTCAGCATGTAGATAGCATAATCATTACTCATTTTACAAATGAATAAAATATAGGCATAGGAAAGACAGAGATTCTGGATTTTAGAAATAAAAAAACTAGTCAAAGAACTCAAGGAGGCTGATCCCCTTTCATCTAAATTTAATGCACTAGAGTCCATCATGACTCTTCTAGCCAGTATATCAAAAGTACCTGGTTTTAGCAAGATCCCACAGGATTTGAGAGCCTAGCTCAATATTTTGCAGGGAGAGAGAGAGGGTTTGAGAATTTGGGAAAAGTTTACCAATGGGAAAGTAAGAACTCTTCCTCCCTTCGTAAAAATGAAGCTCTCACAATGCAACACAAGATATAAACGGAACATTTAGAAACGAGTCGTATGCAGTACAATATTGTCAACCCTAGATATTGGTCCGAAAGAGCCTCCCTGGCCTCCAGTATGGCATGTGCCCTGTGCTGCCTCTTTCAACTCAGGAGTTTGGCTTCCCCTCAGAAACTAGGCCATCTGCCACTGCCCCCACTCATCCGACAAAGTTACATAATCGCCAACTTGACATTTTAATTAAACAGACAGCACCCGTTACAGCCGGCAATTTATGAGGCTTATAAATTTGTGATTGTAAAGGACACCACAAGCTTCTGATGAGAGGTGCTCATGAGTTGATGTTATATTATTGTTTTCATCCAGCAGTCTTAGCTTGCCTGACTCCATCCTGCTGGCCATTCTACATTTTTTTAAAACCAAGAATAGATAGCCAATTCAGATAATGTTACCTATTTTAAAGACACTATAAATCACCGCTGATGAATGCTATACGATTTTAGCTGCAGCATCTTCTCTGTGGCAGCTTTATATTAGAGCATTAATAATATTAATTCCTCTTTCATAAGGGTTTAGATTTGTAATTTATGATAACGGTTCACTGCAAGCAGAAAGATTAAAAATGAGAAACCGATATACCAACTAAACTGCCTGTGTCTGGTTTTATTTTCTTTTGGGGAGGGGAAGTTGGAGAGGGTTTTAAAAACAGCTTGTTATCTAAAGTAGTGTGCTCATAGGTTCTACTGAAGGCTTTTTTGTTTTCAGCAAATAATAACTGCTCAGATTTATGTGTTATATTAACTAGCAGAATTATTTATACTTAAGTGGAGCAATCAGAATTAGAAAAATCAATAGTAATGATTTTCCTTAATAACTCCACCCTAATAATGATACAGCTTTATAGTTATTTAAAGAGTCACAAAGCTTATTTGAATTTTATCTGAATCCCAGTGGCAAAAAAACCCACTTGGTTATTTACTAGCGTGACTTGGGCAAGTTGTGCCACCTCTTTGTGCCTCAGTTTCCTCACCTGTAAAATCAAAAACAGTCACATTACCCACTTCATGAGGTGCTTCCAATGATCAGATGAGTGGAGCTCTCAGTATGGTACCTAGCACAGAGCAGGTGCCCAGTCAGCGTTAACGACAACATGACAGCAGGTGCATGAAGCTGCCATCATCGCCATGTTACAGAACAGAAACAAAACCCCACATCACCATCTGATACTAAAGATAACAGACTACTCCATGTCTTGCCCAAGGTCACAGCAGTAGCTATTCCTTGGATTCCAACAACTCACAGATCTTGCACTTTTGACATCCTTGATATACACCTTTAATGGAGTTGTAGATGGAGTAAGGATTTGGGTAGTTATACAACCTGAACTGTGCTCAGTTTTTACTTTTCTGTTTTTACAGTCTACTGTAAAAGTCTACATTCTGCTTTACCTCTCAGTTTTTACTTTTAAATTAAAGGATCAGAAATTATCTTACCTTGCTGAGATTTCTATCCCAAAAAGGCAGGCAGAAGAAAAATTTTATATGGAAATTTCCAATAGAAGTAATAGAACTAAGACAATTTTGAGCCTACCCCAAAGTTTTTACCACAAAATCCCAGCACACTGCCCTTCACTGCTGCACTCTCGTGTGGCACCGAGGAGTAATAAAAAAGTGAGCGGAGAAATTCAGACCTTGGGGCCTACAAAGAGATTTCACACTGGAAGACAATCTGTCTAGTCATCTTCTGATTAGAATCTTCTCAGGTCATTTGTCTTTAGCTGAAACGCTCGACCAATCTTAAATCATCCTGAAAAAGAGAGAGCAGGGGGGAGAGAGAGAGAAAGACAGAGAGCGAGCTAGAGAGCTAGAGTTGGAGGGGATGTTAGTTGCCTATTATGTTACCAGACTTTTTATTACCTTCTATTATTAATAAAGTCTAGTAGTAATCAGAATAATGGCACAAAGAATTCTAGTTCAAATTCCAAAATGATCTAATGTAAACTGAGATGATGAGATAATTTTCAGTTACTTTTACTTTTTTAAGTATTTTTTATTGATTATTCTATTACAGTTTTCTCAATTTTTTCCCCCTTTATCCCCCCTCCACCCTGCCCCCTCAACCCTCCCGCATTCCTACCTCCTTAGTTCATGTGCATGGGTTGCACATATGAGTTCTTTGAGTCCTCTGTTTCCTATACCATTTTTTATCTTTCCCCATCTATTTTATGCCTACTAATTATTCTTCTTCTTCCCTTACCTTTCCCCCCTAATCCTCCCTTCACCCTCCCCACTGAAATCTCTCCATGTGATCTCCATTTCTCTGACTCCGTTTCTGTTCTGGCTGTTTGCTTAGTTTTTGTTTTCATTGTTTTTCTTTTCTTTTAGGTTCATTTGTTGATAGTTATAAGTTTATTGTCATTTTAGTGTTCATATTTTTTATCTTCTTTTTCTTAGATAAATCCCTTTAATGTTTCATATAATAAGAGCTTGGTGATGACGAACTCCTTTAATTTGACCTTATCTGGGAAGCACTTTATCTGCCCTTCCATTCTAAATGAAAGCTTTGCTGGATAGATTAATCTTGGATGTAGGTCCTTGCCTTGCGTGATTTCAAATACTTCTTTCCAGCCTCTTCTTGCCTGCAAGGTTTCTTTTGAAAAATCACCTGATAATCTAATGGGAACTCCTTTGTAGGTAATTTTCAGTTACTTTTAAACTTAATTTTACCTTGAAATTGTCATGTTCACTCTGATAGCACTACACAAAGAAATGGTAAAAACCCAACCAACTAGATCTTTTTTATAAAATATTTTAATTATGTGAACTTATTATCTCCCCGCTGCTCTGCTTTGAGGAGATTACACCGGCGAAGCAAGACCATTTCTGACACTGTAGATTAAGAAACAAGAGAGATGGGAATTCCAGTGTCTTCTATTAACTCAACCTCTCACTGCATAACCATCACTGGAGGTTACAATCACCAGACACCAGTCACTGAAGAAAAATTCAGCAGAGTTTATTATCCTTATTTTCCTGATTTTTGGGGGGTATAAAATGGCTAGTGTATTTTAATAGAGATAAATGAACAAAAAAAGTCAGCTAAACTTTCATTCTCTGTTCATCCCTTGATATATTATTTTATCCCCCCCCCCACTTTTTTCTCCCTGATTATTGCCCAAAACTCCTGTTGTCGATGGCAGGGTTTACCTGCTTCAAGAATAATATATTGTACACAATTTAATATTGTTCTTTTAATGTTTGTTCATTTGTTTCTATGGCAAAATACTCTGGTAATTTTAAGAAGCAATATCTAAACTATTAAAGAATTGCTCAGGTAGGAAAGATATGAGAGGCATCTATTCTCTGACTTTTTCACAAAAAAATTAATTGTTTATTTTTTATTTAATGGTAGATAGAGGGATAGTTTTCTCCTTGATAATAGGGCATAGCTTTTTTTCAATGGCACAGGATGCTATTTTTAGAATATGATGTAATGGCTATGCTCATCTACTCTACCAGCTCAATTAATAAATGAAAAAGGAAAGACATTTCTATATTGCAGTTCATGAAGACAGCCTCAATATATAAAGGATATGTAGTTTCTTGTAAGCAAAATTTCTATGGGGCATAATAACTGTGCCATAAAATATAGAATGCTGTCTCTTAAGATTCTTGCAGCCTAAAAATGATCTATTTAGAGTAAAGCAGGCTAGAAATAAATATATGATTTCTAATTTTACTTAACATAAAAAGGTATATTAAGATATTATTTTTAAATTGGCTTGAAATAATGTAAAGAGCCAATTACAGAAAGAGAATCCTATTATCATTGCTAAAGAGAAAAGGAAACATGTAAGCATAACAATGAATATTCGCCTAGGGAATTTATACAGCAGACCGGAAAAGACATTTTCTATGTCAGTGGTATATCAATGGGAATACAAAGGGCCCTAGGTTGTTGTTAGTGAAATGGTTGAGAAGTATTTCAAAGTCAGTAATATTGATTAAAGAACCTGACTTTTTAATTTGTTTGCTACCAATTTGAGGAAATATAAGATGTTTGGGAAATTTGTCAGGGAAAATTTAAGGCCCAGATTAATGGGAAAACCAACTGGGAGTTTCAGATGCTTGATTCTGCCTCAGCTGTTGGCCCTGTAGCTCCACTAGGAATGATACTCCGATGTGAGGGCTAGACCTCTTTGTTCCTGTTTTACAAACAACAGCATTTGTGTGCACCAGTAGATACGCTTTTCTAAGACATACCATGTACGTGGACGTCCTTACCTTTGCGAAGAATTTATCTTAAGTGACTGTTAACCATAAAACTGTGTTTAAGACAATGATAAGGTCTGTAAGTCCTTGAGATCTAGGTGTATTCCTAAGATATCATTTATTTCTCCTCTAAGTGGAAAAATTGGTGCTTATAATTTATTGTTACTGTTTTTAATACAAAAGTGCTTACATTTAAAGACCATCAGTCCCCTTCTTTCTCCCTCCCTTCCCTCTCTCTAAAAATAAATAAGTAAAATCTTAAAAAAGAGAGAGAGAGAGAGATACAAACATTTTAAGCATTTTCTTGCACACAGCTCTTCAGGTCGAAACATGAACAGTCAGGAGACTCATCCACCCACCTCATCATACTGCTCCGATCTGAGTGCGTCATACCCTTGGTCGACACTGTCAAGGAACAGAACATTTCATTCACGTTCAGATTCTGGAGTATCATCCCAGGTAAATACTTTTAATTATCCCTTTACCTAATGACAAGTTTATAAAATGAGCTTGACCTTATATTTAACACTTTGTAATAAGTGTAAACTTCTTAAATCCACCCTTCTAACTGGGGGGTGGGGGGCGGGAATGAATGGTTGATACTCTCAGTCCCAACTTGGAGAGGAAAGGAAGGAAGCTGGGGTGGAGAAACACCAGAGGAGATGAGTAGAAAAGATAATGATTCCCCAAACAAAAATGCCATCCCTTCCTTTCTCCCACTGAGTTCAAATCCTGCCTTTGGTCTAAGATTTATGTCCTTTCTTTCTGGAATTTCCTTTGTTAACACAAGATTTCCCCCTCCTAAAGTGACCATTTCCAAGACTCCCTCTTACCCACCTACATGGAATCACACATGCTTTTCCTCCTTTCCTTCGTTCATAATTGTTCCCCTTATCCCACTGGATCAAGGTGCGTTATTTATGTCTGCCTCCCAAAATTATAGAAAATGAATTTTTAAAGCACAAACCAAATGTACAATATATATTTGGGGAGTTTTAAATTAATTTTTATTATAATTTTTGAATAAATGAATGAAATGAAGCATGCTCACTTTGAAAATATTTATTGAACCAATGAATTAGTCAATTGGTTTACAAGAAATAAAAACAGAAAAAGAACAGGGTAAGGCACAAATATTCACTATCCCTTAAGAAGGAACAATACTCACAAAACTGCAACACATTGACAACTTTACCCTGATATAAACATAGAAAGGCAAGGGCTCAAATTCCTACAATATCAGCATTCCCAAAATCACCCACATAACTCCTTTAAAAAACAAATGAACATAGTTTTTTTTTGCACAAAATTAGACACCAGTTGAAAAATGGAAACTATCTTTGCTAATACAACTTTAGCTTAGATTATTTTTTTCTCAGCAAGAACCTCAAGGAATAGCACAAAGAGTCAATGCTGTGTAAGAATTTAACTTTAAAGAAATTTTTATTCTATAATAGAAGCAAGAAAAAAACACTCCAAAAGCACACTACAGGTTGGGAAAGAAGTTTACATAAACATGGGAACTCAACAACGAAGAGTAAGTAAGCCAGGGGCTACATTCCTCAATAATCACAAATGTATAAGTGCATTTGTGCTCCTTAATTTTTTTTTAAATAGCTCTAAAGAGTGAGTGAATTCCTTGAAAGCATGTTATCAACTCCTCCGGGTATCTCAAAGAATTGCTCAAGCATTAATATTTTAGTGTTACTGTTATTAAGGTAGAAAGATTTTATTATTAGTTCTATTTTTTAAATGAAGATACTTAATTAGGTACTGGGTCGATCAAGGTCATTCACTGAATAAGTAATTAATATAAAAGATCAAAGCTAAATGATTATTAAAAAGCCACTTCTTCCCAGTTCATTTTGAGACAGTTTTTTCCAAATTCTGCTTTACAAGATACATAGTCCCATAGTCCCACATCCTGCTCCACAAATAAAAAGTTCTATGTCTTAAAAGTTCAAGGGGACACTTTGTAGTATCGACTCACAGTATGTATTAGAATGCTAAAGGCTCCGAGAAGCCTGGTAATAAAGAGAAATGCTTAACTTGGTTTAATCCGGAGCCTCATAAGCTTACTTAATAGTGGAAATGTTTTTTATGTTAGTATTAGTCAAACAAATTTACAGCTCAAGCAAAACATAAGCTCTGTGAAATGCTGCTCTGTAAGTCAAATGCTGTTGTTCCAAATACTTCAATGGCATTCCTTTAAATCAAATATCCTGGATTTGTTTGTATATGTGTGTAACACTGGCTAACAGAAGAATGAATCTATGGTGTGTGTATGTAACATAATTATCTTTTCCTAGTAATATATCTTTTTTGTTTGTGTTACCTTGAAATTACCATAAGCTGTAGAAGATAATGGGAATTGTGATCGACTACAACCCCCGTAGCCATAAACAATATAAAATTGCCCTAAATGTGATCTTGGCACATATTTTGGTCACTATTATACTGTCTGGAACAAGAAAGATGACCAGACATGAAATAATTTATTCAGTACTGGCTACACATTTTAAGAGCAATGTCACTAAATTGGAACTCTTCCCAAGGAGAACTGCACGTTCTTCCTAGCTATTGAATCATTTGCAAACCATGGTCTGTGGGTAATAATTGAATGACTTAGGAAGAAGATGATGATGGTTATCAAACACTTGAACAGCAGTCACATGTGAAGGGATTCTTTGGGGTCCATAGAATGAAGAGCCCTTAATTGTTACAGCTGCTCGAAATGGAATGAGATTATTCATGAAATGTTCATTAAATATTAAAGGACAGTTTATGAGAGGTGGTGTGAAGTGGACTCATGAAAGAGTACATATACTTATTTCTGCTACCCTTCACCATCAAACATAAGTCAATTACAGGTGTTGGAGATGCAAAGGTGAATAAGAACACATAATTTAGATTAGACTAAGGTGTCTTCTATGAGCACACCATTAGGTACTCAGAGTTCCATTTGGCTGAATGTTTGGCATGGATTTGCATCACTTTTGTACATAAAAGGAAATGAATTGTGTATTGCCAGATGGTATTTTTCCTCTCTCTTATTTGAAAGCTTCCGTCAGATTCTGTTAAGCACCTCACTTGGCAGAAGGTGGAGCACCATGACGTTCAAGGAAGTCAACTGCGTTGCCCAAGAGTAAGAGAAGGTAAGAGAACAAATGTGTCTATTCTCTGTGCACATGCCCCAAGTAGACGGTTTTATGGGTTAAAATACATCACTTGAAAAAAAGATATTTTTTACAAGTAGAAAGAATTTTTTTCAAGATCATGGAATTGTTAATTTAGTGAAGCCACCTTTAAAAGCATATTGTAATACAGGGTCCAGTACAAATAGTGCTTCTTTTTTATTATAAAATTTCTATTGCAATATCATAAGCATGTAATTCTGTAACATAACAATATCACACTCAAGCACAGTATGTGGCATTCTGGGTGAAATGTTCAAATGAGTGTATAGGTTATTACACCTCTATTATTACACCAACCAAACTCAAGCAGGCCTTACTTCTGCCAGACCCTGTATCTGATTATAAAAATAATAGATGTTCAGTATTAAATATTGGAAAACAGATAAAGAAGAACCTACAATTCAACTATCCAGAAATACTCATTGTGACTTTTATTTCCAATTATGCTTTCCTTGAAAATCATAAACATATGCATATATACTTAACAAAATTGTATAAACAATTCTGAATAAGTGAATAAGTATTTTCACTTATCTTAATATTGTAAGAATTACTCAAAACATATTTATAAAAAGGTTGCATATTTCATCACCTGTATATTAAACTTATTTAACCAATGATCTTTTTGCAACTTAGTTTTATTTACTATATTTCATGAGCATGGGCAACACTGTTACTTCAGTGGGTGACTTTAACCTGTTTTAATTCTATACTTTTTTTGAAGCATTAAAAGAGAGTAAATAAATCAAGTCATCCCACTTTATATTTTTACTAAACATTTTAAATTTGGTAAAATAATCAACATTTAAATGTTCCTTTGTCATCTTCAGATTTTACAAGTGGATTAGTGAGACACTGTGAAGAACCATGATCTGCAGCCCTTGATATGCATAATTTGATTAGGATTAGTAAATTATAGTTTTATTTCTATAAGTAGCTTTTAATAGATGATAAATTATGTAGGAACAGAGACTGTGCATTTTTCATGTCTTTTTTTTTGCATCCTCCATAAGCTGATGACATAATATTAGACATAATTCTTGCTTTAGTGAGTATTTAGTTTCTATAAAACACCCAATATCTTGGCTATCTTCCATCTGTATTTTCAGACTGGCAACTATATTGTGCAATTATATTGTCCAATTATTACGCTGGCTTAGAAAAAGTTGTTATAAATATATTTACCTGCTTATTTTCCCCTCAGTTGCATTACTTTACTCACACAGTGCCTTTTGTCTCTTAGTCAAACTCAGTTGACAAAGGTAGACTAAAACACATCACTTTCTGAAACTTCGAGTAAAATTCTTCTGTTTTAACTCTGTAAGTTTTATTTGCAACTAAGTAATGACTCCTAATATTGTTAAAAATATTGATAGATAGTTAAACTAGAGGAAATTTAGGTTTGTCCTTTGGAGACCTTTGAGAGAATATTATCTCAAAAAACAAGAAAATATGAGTAATTTAAAAAAAAGAAGACCAGAGGGGGAGAGAGAGTGAGTGTCATGTTTAAGGAATTCATCAGCAAAAGGAAAACAGGGCTACCTCAGGAACTAAAGTGGGTTGAGTTCAGGTGGTTCTTAAACTTTAGTTAAACTGCTGAGTGAAAATGCAGATTCCTGGGCCATACTCCCCCCAAATCTGATGTAGTTAGCATGGAGTGGGGCCCCAGTGTCTGAATTTGTAAAAATTATCACAGGAAATTACATGGCAGATTATCTCATTTCTATACAATGAGTAACACTAGTTTAGGAGATTTGGAGGAAGGGAGAAAAGAAAGAAATTTGGATAGAAAGTCAATAGATTGGTAAAAGGGTACTGGCATAGGGTATGTATGAGGGAGGTAGTTGATGATTGTGGCAGCCACACTGAACAGAAAAGAAATTGTAACCTGAGCACAGGTGGAGAGTGAGGTTTAGAGAGGATTGCAGAATTCAAGAAATTGCAGGGGATGACCAGAGAATAGATGTAGGAGTAAATGTAGGAGCAAGCTGAAAATCAGCCTGTGTAAAGAGAGTCCAATGGTCTTCCTCCTTCCCTGATTTAAGCAGCCAGGTCATGTGTGGAGGTCATCCCTTAGCAAAACCAATCCCACATAATGACCCCAGTGGTCATTCATGCAGAGGACATCATTGCTGTGCAGAGATAAGACACATTTTCCTGCCATACATCGTTAACAACACCCAATCTCTGGCCAAGTGAGTAGTCATAAAAGGAATGGAGCATGATCTAGGGGATGCAAAACATTGGAAAATTCCATCACCTCCAACCATGGAGAAAATAGTTGTCCCTTGTTCATAATTTTAAGGGTTTTTTTGTGTGTGTGTGTGTGTGCATGTGTGTGATGGAGAACAAGCACTTTTCAGAAGCATGATGACAAAAATTACCCTTCTCTTAGCTTAGATCCTGAAAGACCCTTCAAAACGACTTCAGTTGGGGATCAACTGCCCCAGTTGTAAATCCAGGAAGAGTTCCCAAGAAAAGAAAGGTTGTCTGGTGTGTGATAAACAGCAATTTCCCAAGACTTTCATAGCCTTTCATTGAAAGATCAAGACTGACTTAACTCTCCCCAATTAACTCAAGCAAAAGAGCAAATTGTTGACAGAATTCTTCTAAAGAATAAATGCTTTCAGTCTGAAAAGGCCCCAGCAAGTCAGTTCAGTCACTGATGCTACAAATGACAAACCCAGTGAGGAGACCAGGAACAATAGCAGTAGGAACAGGGAGCAGCCAACAAACACCCTTGGGCTGTCGGATACTCCAAACTGCTGTTCTCAACTGCTAAGAAATATCTTCAATGACTGACTAAGTCTGAGGGAAAAAAAAACCCAGTTTAATGCAACTCCTTACAGTGGAGATGACCTTTGGCCTCCCACTTCAAAGAAAATTTTGAAAGCCGCTTTAAAAAAAAGTAATTGAAAGAGCAGAAGATCAATAGAAGTCAAGCAAACAATACAGGGCAGAGTTCAATAAACTCGGGAGTATATGTCTATTGCACAAAGAAAGTTACCAAATTTGGGGGTGGGTGTTAAAGGCAATAGAGCCAAAGATCTCCCCAGTCAATTAGGTGATTGTTCTGGTTTTTCTAATTCTGTGACCTTTAATTCTAATCACCCTAGTAAATGAAGAAGATAATTTCCTAACACAAGAATATTTTATTTGTAAATTGGTTGAGATACTGCCACCTTCAGGATTAAGTTATTTCCCGGATGGCAAATAGTGCAGTTCATTATGAGACAAATGCCTGAAAAGGCAGGTAACACCTTGGCTTCCACCTGTGCCTAATGAAAGAACTGATGTTCATGTCAAAATAATGAAATACTGGAGTCTTTCTCTGATTGCCTTCCGTAAATCTTTTCACGAATGGACTCCATCTCCCATCTGAGCCCAGACAAACCTGCCACAAAACAAAGTTTGTTCCTGATGCCTTTGGTATCCTCTTTCTGGTGTCTTTTTTTCCCACTTTTGAAATGAGAGGAATCATACATTCCAGGAAAGTAGGATATTAGAAGTATGTGCCAAGGGGACCAGGTATGACTCAAAGGAATACAGTCTGTTAGAGTCGGGAGGAAACTGAAATCACTTAGTATAGGATTGACTGCTGTCAGGGGCCTGATTGACGTAATAACAGAGTGAGTTCATGTGCTACCCCAGACAACAGGGGCATATGGCAATGAGAATTGCATATGTTGGTTTAGAATAGCATTTTGATATTAGAAAAGTATTAGAAATCAGCCCTGGCTGGCATAGCTCAGTGGATTGAGCGCGGGCTGGGAACCAAAGTGTCCCAGGTTTGATTCCCAGCCAGGGTACATTCCTGGGTTGCAGGCCATAACCCCCAGTGACCGCACATTGATGTTTCTCTCTCTCTCTCTCTCCCCTTCCCTCCCTTCTCTCTCTCTAAAAATAAATAAATAAAATCTTTTTTTAAAAAAGAGAAGTATTAGAAATCTATTTTTAATATAGCATTATAAAAATGAAACAAATTTTTTCTCATCCAATTCAACTCGATAAGCCCTTGGTTCCAGTCTTCCGTGTATTTCACCACACGTGAAAAGCAGAAGCTCAGAAAATTAAAATTAGGCACCTGAAGTCAACAATGCCCTAGGACCCGACCCCAAACTGGAAACAGGGTACCCTTTCCTATCCCTGAGAGTTTTGTGCGAACTTAATTTGGAGGGCAGTAAGGTTGGCAAAGAGTGGGAAATGAATTTGGCAATGGAGATTGGTGAGGCTGTGGGAAACCTTGCTGGACAAGCTAGGACATTGCATCTTTCTTTGAGCAACAAGACATTTCTGAACTGTTTTGAACATGTGAGTCCCATGGTGAAGCTGTAGTTTAAAGAAGGCTGTATGACAGTTTGCATCATTTATTTTGAAAGAGAGAACACTGCAAACAAGGAGATCCAAGGGAAAGTTACATTCAGGTAGGAGAATAAGAGGATCTGGATGTTGACAAGGAAGGGAGAGTCTCAAAGGGAAAATGCTAATTAAATTGAGATACAAAAGAGAATAAAAGTCAGGAGTGCCTTTGCATCCCCAAACAGAAAATTATACAAAGATTAAAGTCACAGTGCTGTTGATTTTCCCATTTGCCTGGGCTAGAAATAATTCATGTGGGCTGAAGTTTAATTCCCTTTGTTACTGCCTGAACTATTTGGGCATTATATGCATCAAATCTTGATTTCCTCAATCCAAATATTGAGTGGAAGTGTGAAACAATGGGTCAAATAGCAAGTGAAGATGTCAGTCCTGTCACCCTGTACCTACTTCCAGGACCTTCCCTTGTGACTTTTGCCTAGGACCCCCTGCAGAAGAGCTCCTCTTCACACAGGACGAGGGGGCCTTGCCTCCACAGAAAAGAGTCTGTGAAAAAAGCCAATGGGAAACATGGCTGCAAGAAAACTGGGAGGACTGCAAGGTGAGAGCTAAAAATAAGCAGAAAAAAAGAACCTATTTTCCTCGTTGATTAAATCATGACACTTTTTAAAGAGAAATTACCTGGATAAATATTTTAAGCATCTCTTCCCAGTGGGGGGCCAAACCCACAATCTGGGCACCTGCCCTGACCAGCAATTGAACTGACAGCCTTCTGTTCTTCAGAATGACACTGAACCAATGGGGTCATGCCCATCAGGGCCCTTTGTGATCTTTTGAAACATAGAGATATCTACATTTCCTTAAAAATAGTAAATTACTTTGCTTCAAATTTTTAAAAAGCATTGTCATTTTATTTGATAATTTTTATTGACAGAAATTGATGGTAAGATTGTGGAAATAAAAAAGTTAAATTGACTTTTAGTAATAGAGTTTTCGAGAACATTGCTACTACTGAGAAGAGTTTTAATTTCCTTTACATCAAAGGTGACTGATGTTAAAAGTAAAAATGAAATATCATAACAATTTTTTATCTATTTTTAAAGAAAACAAGGAATAAAAAATAAAATAAAATAAAATATCAACTATCTTTGAAATATGCCAAGTACATTTTGGGTATGTATCCCTAGTTGCTTTGAAACAAAACCATAGTTTTCATCTTTTGAATGATGATATCTTACTCTGAAATTTTTATAAATGTGATTTTTTTTTTACTATTTCCAAGGGAACTAAAGATAACTAATCATTTAAATCAGTAATTCCCAAATAAAGTTTTACCCCCTTTACCACTAGAGAATTTCAGACTCTGAGGACCCAGCCTCACCCTCCACCTTGGGGGTCGCTTTAATCAGTGTTCATTCAGGATACTCACCTGCGCCACCTTGAGAACCTCTGCGACATACTGTGAGTGTTTGGACGTGTGAGTGTGTGAGAGGACAAGAGAAGGTGACAACGACTTGTTTAAATAGCACATCCAATATACTCTTGGTTAATAACTCTTTTTAAAAGTTGACAAACAACTTGCTTTTTCTTTCTGTTTTTCCCTTCAGAATTTGAACATTTCATTTCAGGATCTGGGGGACCCTTATCAAGTGACAAATTTTAACAGGATTCTTAGAAGACTAATTCGAGTCGAAACCCTCTGGTTAGTGGATAACTCACTGGTGGATTTAAGTGCCATAAGATTGCCAAGGTATCTGCTTCCTAGAATGTCCAGTTACTACAACAAAATCAAATCTTTGCTGTTTGTAGACATGAGACTGTGACCACTGTCTGCCCACATTGTGGTTCATCTCATGTGATCAGGTCTTAGAGCTCATAGTGCTAAATGTTGCCTGGGTAAAGCAAAAAGGCAAATATATGTATCAAAATGCCACACTTTAGAGAAAAGAAATCTATTATTTTCCAAATGAATATTGTTATTATCAATATTTAGGGGAGTAATTTGTAATGATAGAATCACATTGGCATTAAAAATTGCCATCTCTTCCATTATAAACTAGAAGTGCAATTATATTACATATACACTATTGTTGTAAGATAGCAATTTTTAGTTAGTCATATTTACTATCAGCAACATCCCCCAAAAATGGAATTATCTTCTATTATCCCTTCTATTATATTAGAAGGCAGGCCCCTTTTATTACAGGCTTCCCCGACTAGGACACTTCTAGGAACCCATATGAATCAGTGCACCAGCTGGCATGGTTGTGAGAGGCTGCATTCAGCTTCAGTGAATCTTTTTTTGAGACTTTCGGTAGGTTTGCCCATTTCTGATGGGTGATTAATGAGCTCGCCTGCCCACACTGCACTGACTGTTCAGCAGTTTTTGAACAAAAGTGGCATTACCCCCAGGCCCCACCCTCCCTATTCACCCAATCTTGCCCCAAGTGACTTTTTTGTTTGTTTCCTGGGATGAAAAAAGTCCTCAAAGGGGAATGTTTCGCTGATGTGGAAGAGGTAAAACAAAAAATGGCTGAAGCAGTAACAGGAATCAAAATCAATGAGTTCAAAAACTGCTTTAAGCAGTGGGAAAAGCTTCAATAATTGAGCAATTCAAGTGGAGAGTACTTTGAAGGTGACTGAAGTTTGAATATGTAAGAATAGATACATAATTTTTAATAAATAAATTCTGTTTTTTTTCTTTCTTTTTTTGTCCACCCCCCTTGTGTTGAGTACTAGTAGGGAAAAATCTGTAGGTAGTTGATGGAAATCTTAGCTCAGGGTCACATTTTAATGGAGGGGTGGTGTTAGCAATAAGAACAGTGACAGAAACAAATATAAAAAGTTTTAAATTATATGGACTTCTTAGTCCTTCAAGGATCCCAAGATAACCTACATCTCTGCTCTGGATTGCTTGAGAACCCTTTTAGTGGCGAGCTGTGATCTGCTTCACTAGGCAGAATGGGTTGCTGGGGTCAGCTTTGGTCACGGCAGACAGTCCTAGGGAAAAATTAGGAGACAAAAAAGATTGAGCAATCACACATTTCTTGTCCTAAGAAGACCTTTTGGTTTTCTTTTATATAAGAGGGTGTTTTTTTCTGATCTAAAATGTTATTTTCTCAATATAGAATTTAAGTGCAGCCCAGTAGAAAAAAAATAACTATAATCTCACAATTTAGTGGCAGTACTCTTCACACATTTTTATGTTTCTCCATGAGAACGTTTCAGGACTGAGATTATATACAGTCATTCACTCTTTCAGAGCCTACTGAGGATCCGCCATGGGCCAGAAAAGACAACAGATTCCTACGTTCAGCAAGCTTACATTCTCATATGTCCTGCTTATTTTCTCCTAATATTTTAATGTAAATATTTCTCTTTTCTTACAAATGTCACTTGTAGGAAACATCACTGTCCCTCCTTTGAGGAGTTATGTTCTAGATGTGGCATACATACTAGCCCTATGTAAGACTGGGGAGTTAATTGTCCTCATGAGGAGACAAATGACGAGGTGTTTATATTTTGTATTCAGCTGCAGAGTTTTAAACATGAATAAAAACCATCTCACATCTTTCAAACAATTGCCAAAGATACCGCAGATACAGCATTTATTTTTGGCCGAGAACCACATTGAGACTCTCACCGGGCTCTCCTGGTTGCAGCACACTCCACTAGAATCCCTTGTGCTCAAGAGGAACCCTTGTGAATTTTACCAAAATTACCGGAAACGGTAAGATCGCAAGTGCCTTAATATGTACTTCACTGAATATCTAGTATAAATTAGATGTTTAACGCTTCTAATCACACCTAAAGAACTTTGAACTGATTTTTTTTTGTCTTTAAAAAATCTTTGCTACACTTTTTTGTTAATTTTCAATTGCTGTGCAAATTTTAGGCTCCTCTTATTATGTGACTTTACATATACAAATATGCTTCATTTTATATGCGCAGATCCTATGCATTTTCTTTCATAATGTTTTATAGATATTATGTCTTTTGAAAAATTCTAAATATAAATTCGTATCAAGGCCCATGTGACAATCTTATAAATTGTTTATTCTCTGGTTTTATTTTCACTCCTTTGGGCCACAGGGCACCATTAAGTGAATACAAAGAAGTAATTGATTCAATCTACTCTAGTGGTTGAAAGAGCTTGAAAACATGCCAAGAATAAGCCATTTTTATTCCTTTTTCACTATTCAGAACATTCTTAATGATAGTAATGGAATCTAAACAAACTTGGAGTGTACACCAAATAAAATGACTACCTATTTATTGCCAGCTAATTTCCAGCACCAGTATTAGTGTACTTACAGGCATTATAAGGATGTAAACAAGCAACTGAGTTCTCGAACCTGTATCTGTCCCCATCTGACCACAAATCATCTCATCTCTCACTTTGAACTTGTTATACGAAGGTTCAGATCATCTCTAGGTTATACTCCTGTCCTGTGGTTATAGTGCTTTGTCTACATCCAATTTCAATAGAACACATGGTTCTCATTACCTTTCTTTCTCGCTCTACCATTTCCCCATGACAGCAACTGTAACCCAAAGGTCTGTATAATATTAGACTCTTCAACTCCTGATGTACAGTGAAAAATTGTCAACATAAAAATTCTAATATCTGTTGTTACTACATAAATTCCATTCCTGCAGCTGTCTCCCTTAAGACTGTCCTCTGAGAGCAAAATTTCATGTTATGTGTTAATAAATTCCCAAAGTGCTTTTACATAAGTGAAAACTAGCAGCAGATTTGCTTTCATATTTAACCATAATAGTGTTTTGAAGTTCAAAATCATATTTTCTACAGTCAGAGGAGGTTTAGCTGGACATTTTAACATTATTCATAAAAAAATCACATTTTCAGTCATAAAAATAATTTATTACTACTATATGTCATTTTTGTTAATTGATATGTGAGATTTTATAAAACACTTTAGTCCCAACTCCGTCACTTGTCTCCCTTCAAAGAATGCCTTACAACAATAGTATTAAGATTAATTGTCTGGAATCTGATATGCCCTGAGGTCTCACTGTAAATCTGTCTTCAAAATTCATAATGTGGTATAGAGTTATGTGGGAATGAAGGATATAATGAGGTTCTTACTTTTCCAGTATTAAGTCTATTGGATTGAGTCCAAAGTAGATATACACTGACATTCAAGCTATAAAAAGCAAGGGTGTATTGATTTAGGTAGCACAGGATTACTTTAAACAGAAAGATGTGGCCATTTTAAAGTTTGAGGGGAGGATTTAAGTATCCACTTCTGCTGAGGAACTCCTGCTGAAGTCCGAAGTTTATACAAATTGGGATTTAATTGTCTAGCCAAAAGCCACACTTTGAGCATTATAACAGACATTGTATGTCAACCCAATGACATATAACCCATTTGTCATTGGGTATCTTTGTGTTGAGGATTTGAGCCAGACCTTCAGTGACCTTTTACATTATGATCAGAATTATTTAACTATGAATTTAACTTGATCACTTTTACCTAAAATTGTGACTGTCTTTCCCTTCCTCCTTTGTTTCAGATCCTCCAATAAGAGGACAGCACAATTCAAAAGTGAAAGGACTTAATGATAGAGCTAATAGTGTAAGTCCAGTAGGCAGAGGTCACCCCCAATTCTCAGAATACCCACAAGCAAACTCTTCTGCCATTTTTCAGAAGTCAATGTGATATTAGTTCAGCATAGTTTGAACATAGCATTCTTTCAGCAAAAGAATGCATAGTTCAGCATTCTTTTTTAAAAAGAAGTAGTGACTAGAATTTCCTGCCAGCTAAGTCTTAACATTGGAGCCAGAAGACTTAGATTTTATCCTTTGCTCTGTCATCTGCAGGCCTAATAATCTGGGATCAATTACTTAAAATGAGCGACAAAAACCAATCAGACAGAGCTGTTGTGAAGATGAAATGATTTAATATGCAGAAAGCAGTTTGTGCTATAGGAATCATGCAGCCAGTGGGAGTAGTCAAGGAGGTCAGCACCTCTTGTCCACTAAGAGGTTTCAGTATCTTTTGTCCTGGGAAAATCCCAGGGCCATGCATTCCCTCTGGCCTGATCTCCCAGGCTTCCCCAATCTAGAAAAGCTGTCCACTGGAGAGGAAATGCTGCTTTATAACACTGCTAGGTGTATGCCTACTGTTCAATTGGGCTGATGTGAAGAACTGTCTGAATTTGAAATTCGAGCTTCAAAATTCTCTGTCAAGAGAAAATAACTGAGAATCATATTATTTCCTACCCCCTCTCTTACACCTCTCAGTCAGAATTTTTTCTTAACTATCACTGAACAACATGGGCTTGCTTTACTTTTTCTTTCTAAAACTTTTAAGTTTGTAACATGCACATATACCATGACCTCATTCTTTCTCTCATGGTTAGTTGGCTAAATCCACTCATTAATTTTTTCCCCTTTATAAGACTTTGTAAAAACTGAATTAAATCTCTTATAAAAACAGACTGTATGCAGGCCCACTTCTCTGACCAATACTTAGCAAATTACTGGGCTGTCGGGTAGCTCCCCAACAGGGTACACTCCAGCACAATGAGCATGGATAGTATTTTATTCTAACCCCATTGCAAAGATAAGGGAATAAAGTGATAGCCACTCACCTTTCTCATAACAGCAGGCAATGACCACTTATTTATAAAGAGAGTAAATGAAATACAATGCTTTTGTTCAATAGTTACTCATTTCTCCTTTTTATTTTTTTCTTTAGAGTGTTCTCCTGTTTGCCAAACCTAAAAATGCTGGATGGGATCCCAAAGCTTCCAGAAGATTCTCCATCACCAGAAACCAATATTTTTTCAAAATTATGCATTGTATCTTAATGCAATTTGCATAGGAAGAAAGCAATCAGCAGTATCTCTAAAAGCTAATAGACACAAGAAATGCATAACTAAATATGGCTATTTATTATAAATATTGTATATATATTTTTCCTTTAAACCAGTGATTTTCAGTTCTTAAAAAATTGTATAACCTGTCAGTAAATAAAATTTTGAGTATATACATAAAATTAATTTTCATTTAGAAATTATATACATCAAACACTAAATAAATATATCATGTATATTTAAAAACATTGAGTAGTAGACGTCTATAACATGATGGGATGAAAACTGAACATGAATAAAGGCTCTAAGTTTTCCCTCATGTTCCAGGGACTCAACTGGCCCACTCCCCGGACTATAAGCCCCTTGTTTTTTGAATACTGCTTTAAACATCTGAACTCATCAAAAGAAAAAGGAACAATCAGAAATGCCTTGTGTTCATTTAAGCCACATATGTTGGATTCTCATTTTAAGTTCTTTTGTCCATTAGTGACTTTTAAACAATAGAAATTTAGGAATGTCTTGGGCCATATGCAGTCCATCCAGGGGCATCCAACCTGAGGACCTTCAGGTCACATGCAGCCCAGATGGCTAGGAATTGGCCCAACACAAAATTGCACATGTACTTAAAACATTATTAATTTTTTTGTGATTATGTGTCACAGTATATTTAATGTGTGGCCCAAGACAACTCTTCTTCTTCCAGTGTGGCCCAAAGATGCCAAAAGGTTGGACACCCCTGCTGAAAAAACACTTACAAAACAAACAATAATGGTAAGAGAATTTCATAAATGTGATTTTAAAACTGCTTTCCCTATATGTTGATGAGAAAGAACACAATTCAGTTTAATTGCCTTCAAAATATAGAAAGATTAACAACTAGATTAATTTATGACCTTGTATTTTTATTTATTTCCAAAGATCAACTGTGTTGCAGAACAAAGATTTCCCCAAGATGGTTCATAGATTAACCAGGGAGCCTAGCAAGAAATAAAATATTTTTGTGGATCATTCTGCCATGAGTGAATGCTGCTTGTAACATTTTATAACAAAGATTCTCACGAGATCAAGATACAATCCCTTCCCTCAAAAATCTTAAGCATGAATGAGAAGACAGCATGCATAATTTGATTTTAAATTATGTGAAGCCAGTCTGAGGACTTTCTAGAGAGAACATTGTGTGAGGTGGATACCGTCAGCAGCAGCAGGTGGTTTCGCGAGTCGGCAGAACGTGGGGCGGGGCGCAAAGCCCAGGGAGTGTGTGTGTCAGATGGCAATGGGCCTAGCCACGAAAGTTAAAGAAATGGGTTGACAACGGTTTTAAAAAAGTAATGATAATAACAGCTACAACTTTTGAGCCTGTACTATGTATCAGGCACAGGACAGATGTAGATCCATTATTTAAATCCTAATAAAGCTATGAGGTCCCAATAACTCTCATTTCCCAGGCAGGGCTAGCTGAGGCTCGGAGAGGTCAGGCAAGGCGGGCCGTGCAATCACTACACAGTGAAGCCAAGGGTGGAAGCCTGAACATCTTCTTACGCCCTTGCTGCATCTTTTAATGACATAGGTCTAATTTAAATTTTTCGTGTGTTTTAATGGACAGCTTTCTCTCCATAATTCATCACAAATACTAGCATTTAATCACAATCAGGTACTCATAATTTTTTGAGCATACCCAAAACTTTCCTTATTCAAGTTTTTCCTTAGTTCTGCAATACTTTTTCCTTGAAGGCACTCCTAAGAAATTGTTACTTCTTTCAATGCTCACTTCAAGTGTTATCTCTTTCAAAAAAATCTTCCCTCATCTTTCCAATCATCTGTTTCCTCTGCAGGTCCATAGTACATTTTCATGACATGTTTTCTTAATAATGGCCCCACTTGATTTTTAAAAAATTTATACCTTGCCTGCTCCCCCTCCCCCAAAGGCTTCAAGATAAATAAGAAAGTGGGACACACTTCAATTTAAATGTTGATGCATGTATCTTTCTGCCTCTCTAAATCAGGGCAGAAAAATATTTTCTGGAAAGAACTAAAAAGTATTTTAGCCTTTTCAGGTCATATAGTCTCAGTCATAATTATTCTTCTCTTCCTTGTAATGCACAGAAGTTGCCCCATATGTAAATTAATGGGTACAGGTCTGTCCCAATGAAAGTTTGTTTACAAAAACTTGTGACAGTGTATTGTTTGCTGACCCTTGCTCTAAATTTTACGGTCATGTGGCTGATTTGTTTATTCTTCACCAATATCTATTACCCTCCCTGGAAAAGGTATATACTTCCTCTATTCTATGAAGTCAGCTGTGTCAAGGAACTTGATTTGGCCAGTGAAATATAAGTGAGTATGATACAGATAACTTGTAGGCAGAAATTCTGAGAACCAGACTGTGCTTTGTCACTCTTTGTTTGTGCCACACTAGCAGGCAAAGTTCCAGATAGAGGCCGTTTCATTAGACTAAGTCCTGCAGTGAATACAGTATGAGCAATTCCACATTCACCCTACAGAGATGTCTGAAGCAAGAGACAGTAGACCTATGGCATCAACCTCTGTGATTCCATCTGATGCCATAGCATAGACTGGTTTTTCTCCACTAGTACAGCTCCTTAAATTTAGGGACTGCAATTTAACGTGTTCAGTACTATATCCCCCACCACCAAACAGCATAGTAGGCACACAAAATGTTGAGTAAATGAATAAATGCCTATTATAGGAAATTATTACTTGAGTGGTAGACTTACCAGGTAGCTTATAACTATAATAATTTAAGTGAAATGTATTAAAAACTTTAAGGCAACAGTGTTGGAAATAGAAACAAGTTATAAGGGAATGAAAAATTTGGGCATTATGACAGCCAGCAAATTGTTTTAGTAAGCTACATTGAATTAATTTGTCTGTTACCTCCAAGCAAAAACATTCTAATTGGCAACAAAAATCATGGGTTTCACACGTGGGAGGTAAGAGGTGCTGGGTGCTGGTTGCTGGGAGGAAGAACGGCTGGCCTCACTGATAAGTAAGCATCTCTGGATGTTTTCACACTGTGTCCAAGAGGTAGCCTGTGTTGAGTTGCAATCTGATATTCTACTGAGACACAGGTTCTATGGGCAGTATGGCTAGAAGGGTTTGACCTAAGTTGATGATGCTCACCTAAGCCAGATTGGCACTGACTGGAGGGAGGCCAATGAACTGATTGCCATTGAACCTAATAGTGAGTCTATTTACTCGTTGCAGTGGCAGCAGCTCTAGTAGTCATGAGGGGTGACATGTCCAGTAACAGTATGCTATCACTCCAAATAAAGCTGCACACATGGCCTGTGTAATATTTCTTTGCATATTCTAGCTATATTCCATTTAAGCATATTGGCAAATATACTGTGTTGAGAATATACAAGGATTTTAACTAGCAATAGAGTTATGTGTGTGAGAATTATTGGTGCATAGGCACCAAAGAGGGCTAACTTATAGCTATATTCTATTAACAGAACTGCACCAAACTCCCATTCTAAAACTCCTAGGTACATCCATCCTTCAGAAATATTCAGTTCTCCACCAGTGTACTGGAGGTAATAGGCATAAAAGGGATGCCCTAGTGCCTCTTAGCATCTCACATCTAATTTTGTCTCAGTCTCATTCTTCCTTTGCATAACACATGTGCACAGGTTCACAATTATCTGAATGGCTCAGTTCAGAACAATGGCAGGGATTAAATTGTGTAAATATGACAACTTTCTGACAGATGACACAATGCAAATAACACCTTTATTAGAAAATAATTACAGTGAGAGAAGCTCCTTCAGTGCATGAAGAAATGTTATATACCAACTAGTCCAGCTCTTCATAAGTCCCTAATGAATCAATTCATAGCAACTCTATAATACCCAATAAGGGATTTTGCAGTTTACATTTGAATAAACAGGAATTCTAAACATTTGAAAAAAATGTATACATATAATCTTTAGTATATTTTTTCAATTACCATTTAGTTCCTTTATACCCCCTCCCCACTCAGCCACCACACTGTGGCCACGTCCATGAGTCCTTTTTCTTTTGCTTAATCCCTCCGCCCCCTGATGTCTCCTCCCCAACTAGCTGGCATCTGTTCTCCACCTAGAAAAAATTCTTTTTGGTTCATTCTAATCTTTAAGATGGCCTGCTTTATATTGAACTAATATCTGCCTTCTGTAACTTCTCATTGTTCAAATGTCTCAAATCGTATAATTAATTCCATCTTCTAGGGAATTTTTCTCAGCTCCTAGGTTCTCAAAAGTACCCTGATGTTTTCTCTTCTGTGACAGTGGAAATGGAAATGGTTAAACTAGGATTTGTGGGAGGAGGCAGATGAAGAAAGAGTAGATCAAAGTTAACTAGAAAGAGCCAAAGCAGAAAAGAATCATATTTTCTTCAAGTTCTATATACATCCAAAGAGGAAGATTCCTAAAATGAATTTTCTGTACCAAATTCTTAGAATTAAGTTAGCAAGCTTATTTGTTAATCCCCTAGAAGTCATCTACTTTCAATTATTATTTCTTTCTAGAATAGAACAATTATAACTAATTGCTGTCATTATACTACCAAGCTGTGTTAATGGATGCCCATCTTTTTAAAGGCTAATTGCACTCATGAAACAAAATTTCTAATTAGTTGTAGAGCTTTGGAGCAGATGCATAATATTGGAATCACGCAGGTGCGTATTTGCTTATCTGCTTTTTTTCTGTTCACAAGAAATATTCTAGGAGCGCTGTTTGAAGTTCTAAAAGGTTACATCAAAACTAATTATATTACTTTATGAAAATCATAGTGAAATCTACTGTTGCTAAAATATTATTTTCTCCAAACTCTCAGTGTCCCTGAGCAATACATATTTAAGGTATTTTTCACTTTATATTCCAGTTACTTTTGACAATGTATAAAATACAAGTTCCTTCAAGGTCAGAATTCAACTGAATTCCTCTTTATAGCTCTCCAAAACTACATGTTCTCAATGAGTGTTGAGGGAATGAAGTGAAATCTGAGTAGACCCTCCCTGAGGTTAGATCCCTAGAGCTAGAAAAAAAAAACACTTAATGATGAAAT